TGCAAACTTGAGTAGCCATATAATGTATAATGGATAGGTTATCGACATATTTGCTTCTATTAAATATCTTTGCGATCAATGTAAATTGATTTTTCAGTTCACTATCACTTCTATTTTTTTTTCTTAATGTATAACTTAACAAAAAATGTCGGCAATATCTAGTGCATAAAAATCATCACAGGTTGACAGGTTACGATATTCGTACCCTGCAGCCTGCCATGTAAAAATTTTCATAACCTGGCCCTGTCCTGCCCTGCCAGGGTAGGGCAGGGCAGGGCAGGTTACGCTAACAGCAGGGCTCTAGTCTTATGGAGACTTTCTTATGATCCCAAACAGCGGATATTAGTTCCGATCAATGTGTTATCCTGATTTCCTCTTTCGAAAGGGCCAGCTCAATCTTGCGAGAGGTGCTGCCGTCTCAGTCCTAAAGCTGAATAAAACACTACTTCGAATGGTGCTCTCGTAATCTGTTTAGTTTAATTATAAATACCCCGAGTTATTTCAACTTCCTACATACATCTCAAAGAAAAAGACCATTGTTGTCTATTGTCAATATCATATTTGAGAACCTTTAAAAAAAGATCATAAAAGTAAGAAAAAAGAAGTACACGAAACATTTTTTTTTATAACATTGATGTTTGAAATTCTTTTTTTTCTTTTATTATTTATCATACAAAGCCAACAAGTCCAAATAAGTTTAATACTGGTTTCTACTTTAAGCAAAAGTCTTGCTTTTCAATCTGACATTACAATTAATATAAACAAGAATTGATACAAAGAACACAAAAAAAAAACACAATATTTTAAACAGAAACATTTGCATTAGCTATATTGCTTCGTAATCGTTTTATTGGTTGTGCATCACCACCTAAATTCATTGTTGATCTTGTCAACGAACGTTTCCCAATTCGTTCTGCTAAATCAACTTCATCATCATCATCATCATCATCATTTTGTTGATTAATTTGAACAACAATTTTATCAACAAGTGTATTTACAATAGATGAAACTGCGTCTAGATCTTGTTCATCGTCACTCATATCTTCTAATGCTTTCATATAAGCTTTTTTAAGTAGACACACGTCAAGAAATTGTGCAGCACCACGACGACCAAAAGCTGTTTTCCATAAATGACCAGTTGTTGATGAAGATAAAATTTCATCATTTTCATCTGAGTCTTAAAAAAATCAAAAAAAAAATCTATGTTTAAAGCATTTAATTATGCATTTGAATTATTATACACGAATTCGAATGTTTCAATTAATTAGTTCGAAAAGTTTCTTCTATGTTTTCTCATGTGATATTAATTTCAGTGTGGAATTTAGTGAAGGATGTTCGAGGCTATCGTTTCTATTTTTAGGAATATTATTCGACTTTTTTCAGCAGAAAATTTCCTAGAATGAGCTAATAAAATCTCTAATGGACTTCAAAACACGTTTTTTTAACCATAATCACCTCCATTTCTCAAAATCCCTTATCCACCACTGATCATTCCTAACGTTTGTTTTTTCGAGAAGCAACGTTATTAAGCAATGAAACTGGCTCGCTCTCGAAACTAAGTTTCATATTTTCCAAACAGTCAATTCGAATTAATAAGTTAGTCCTCATGTCGGCTGTGCACGATTGACTCAAATCTCGATACTATTTATCCTCTACAGGATTGTAGTATGTAGTGTTCATTTGAAATTTTTTCTTCCTCTTGCAAGACTTAATTTGAGTTACATATCAACTGAAAATTCGTTCTTTCTTCTATCTAATCGTATTGCTCAGTATGAATTTTTGGAGACTAATGAAAGTTAGTGGATCACTATTCTGACATACATAAATCGTCTTAAAATGTTATGCTGATTTCAAACATGTCATCTGTTTTGATACAAAGTCTAACTATTCAGATGAAATACCAGTCTAAGAAGAACAATTTTTTAAATGTTCTTCAACTCTGTGCGTTTAAATGAAATGTCTTAGCCACAAATTAAGCTCAGTGTAATGGGAGCAATTTCTAGAACTTTAAAAGAGCTATCAAATAGTATATAACTCAAAGTAGATCGCTGCTTTCACAGCATCATATAAGAGAATTTTTGCCATTGACACTCTTATATTATACATCCGAGTGAACCATGCTATACGATAGCAGAAAGAATGACCTTTCATTTGACATTTAACTTAAATAAAGTGTTTAAAAAAAAAAGAAAACTTTTCAAGTGAACATTACATACAACAATTTTATATGGAATAGATAATATCGAGTTACAAGTTAGTTGTACACAGTCGAGATGATATCTAATTGATTAATTTGAATTGACTATTTGAAAATTATGAATCTTAATGTCGAGAATGAGCTGATTTCATTGCTAAACGACCGTTCTCTCCCCTTTTTCTTTTGCTATTATCTTAAGTAGAAATGTGAATATTCTTCAAAATGCACGCCAAAGATGAGTGAATTCTCATAAGTAGAAGTTCAATTTCTTCAAGCCTAATTTTGATCGCGCTCGCCAATGCTTCTATTAGACTTCACGAAATTAAACAAAAAAAAATTTCAAAAATAACTCCACGATTTTGATATCGTTTTGTTTAAGTTCATGAACTCTGACATAATTGTTGTCAAGAATTATCAAAATTAGGCATGTAGAACTTGAAGATCAGTTTTTTTGTTTACCTTCTTCATCATCAATAAGTGTCATTGGTGTACTAAGAAAAAGATTTGCATCAAATTGTGGTAATTGATCTTTATGTTCTAATAATTCACATAAATATGCTTGTCTTTGTGATAATTCTTTAACTTGTATTAATAATTGTCTAACATAATGTTGTTCAAATAATTCTGGACGTTCATCACAACGAAATTTAAATTTTAAATCATCTTGATATATTTCAATAGATAATAATCTTGATGATAAAAGTTTTGCATGTAATTCATTATTATCTTGTTTTATTCCATCAGTTGATAATATGATTTTTAATCGTATTAAAACACGTTCTAAATCATCATAATGAAATGATGTTTTACGTGTATTATTTAATAATTGTAAACGTTGTCGAATTTTATCTTCTGTTAAATATTCAAAATAAGCTGTACCATTTAAATAAAATGCAATTGATATTGATTTTGATGTAAAATGTGGTTGACATAAAATTACAAGATGACGATATGGTTGATCAATTGAACCAACATAAGCTGTTAATGGTGATGACATACGAATAATACGTATTGGTGTTTGACCAAATGTACGTGTACATGTTGAAGCAAAATCTTCAAATGACATATCTAAAACAAAATTATTTCATAAGAAAATATTCTTATTGAAAAACTTCATTAGATTATTATTTAAAAAAGATTAATAAATATAATTCATCGTTCATGTATAGGCTTTCCTTCGTTTTGCTTTTATTTGAAAACATTATCGATGTCAATTGACATATTTGATCAATCAATGTAATTTTCTTTTGAAATTTGAACATTCAAAATAAATCTACTATTTTTTCTTGTCTTTTTATTTTAAAACTTATACAAATAAAGTAGAAGAAAAAAAAGAGAAAATATTTCAGTTTTTATCATTTAATTTATACAAGAATTCAATAAAAAAAAAAGAAATTATAGATTTATCTGAATTGTTAAAATTTCTCAAGAAAATCATTTTCATTGATTGAAACATTCATAGAAATAAAAAATATTTTTCAATAAAGATGAAAAGGAAAAGAATCATTACATGAACGATGTCTACAATATTAGTCAATTGTAAAGAATTTAATTTATATTTAAGCATATTTCATCGATATTGAATATTAAAGTATTCAAAATCAAAATTATAAATGTAAGAATCGTTAGAATAATAAAGATGAGAAAAGTATCAAGTAAAACATTTTCAAAAAACTTAATATACCTTCTTGATGAATAATACATTCAAATACATTCTAAAATTAAAAAAGAAGTCTAGTAATTAACACCGTAAAGTGGAAATCATCCGAATTTATCTACACGAGTAGAGCCTGTCGGATTAGTATTGGACCCGAGTGGTTCGAGTTCAAAAATCTTCGACTTGATTTACCTTTGGTCATCTGAGAAATGTGTAGAGTACGCTGATAACCGAAAAAAAAAGTATCTTCAGAAGGACGATTCAATTCCACTTAGAAAATTCTGGGCTCGACGAAATCTACTCACGAAACTCTGACTGATAAATCGCTTTTGAATCAAGACTATATCCATTATGTAGAACCAAATGAACTATGAATACTCTGAAAAAAGTTCAGATCCTTAGCTTATTGTTGCGAAGATACTGCACTATTCACCACGTGTTTCTAAAGGAATGTCATGATCCTACTCGGGAACAACAGAAAAACGTCATTTGGCTAGACGAACTTTATTTTAATACAAAGATTGGGAAGTCTTTACATGTATATCTAAACATTGTGACGAAGAAAACTCTAAAAATTGAGATGACAGTAAAGTTTTTATGATTCTTTGTGGCATCTTTTATTTTATTCGCAAAGAAAAGTATGTGAAATAGATCAATCGTAGAATTATGTGCTCAAAAAGTGAAACTATCTACATTCAAGTAACTGTCTTCTCTTTCGTAATATTATCACTTATTTCATTTTATTGAATGAAAACATAGTTCGAATAATCCAGACGTAAGGAAAAATAATAACTAAATATAATCTGAAAGAAGTTCATTTATATGTTTATTTGAATTTATAGCTCTCGTATTTTATGCATCCATGAGACGGAGATGGTAGAAGATTATGATAATATTCTTCATGGTAATCTTCTTTTGATCTAAGAATAATTACATCAAGACAATTCGTTGGACCTATATTCGAATACTTTACAAAAAAGCAAAAAGTTAAGCATTCTCACTCACGAGGGAACCACCCGAGGTGTCAAAAAGCTTTTCAGTCGGGGATATGATGGTTAGATAGGGCATAGCTAGGAGTGATATACCCTAAGTTAGTTCGTGCCCAAGTTGCTTCTAGCAG